CCAAACGGTTGCCGCAATAGACCAAGCATCTTGACAGTCCCTCCTAAGGCAGCCAAAAGATGTCACTGAGCCGGCTCCTATCCTGACGATGAAAACTGAGAGGCGGGGAACGCGGCCATCCTTGCACAGAGCTATATACTCCAAAAAGCGAGAGAGCCACATTCGGTCCTGGAAGGTTTTCACTTGTGCCGTGTGTCATTGGACGTATTTGGACATATCCTCAGCATTAGCTGCTGGGCAATACTCTCTCTCGACCCGGTCGAAAAGAGATGGCGGAGCATGTCGGGTCTGCCGCAAGGAGCAAGTGTCACCACATCCATGAGATCGTCTTCAGCTCTTCTGCAAAGGCTGCATCATCGGCCCACCTAACACGTAAATGCGAAAAGCTATCGACGATGGCTCTTGGTCCTCGTTCACCTTTCTGGGGTGATGGTACTGATAATACCAACGTGTGATGTGTCCCCACAGACCACAACCTTCGCACAGCTCTCATTTTCTGCCAATCTGCAAGCCACCTCCCGTTTCGGACAGGCCGGTCAAGGGTGGTGTAGGGATTGAAACATCATCATCCTCTTTGCGAGCTCTTTGATGGGTATTCGCACGGCAGGGCGGAATGAGATACGTAAAGAAGCTGAAAGCATCATGTTGGCCGCATCCTGGAGTTATCCTAGATTCGGACACATTCGCTTAGCCGACGACATCCAGCGAACTCTTCTAATCTCGAGTTTCTCCACAGTCACGTAAGGTCCTTCTGCCATGATTCTAATGGGAACAGGATAGAACATATGCGTTTTGTTGCCATAGGAATAGATTCAACCGTTGTACTCGTATTCGTCCTGACGGCAGTGGTCTGAGGAGACCAATCCCACGACCACGTCTGTTTGTTCCACACCCGAACAGGCAATGCGAAATGGACATGGCTCGTTCGGGGCGCAGTCTAGGTTGCGCCATCGCTAACCGTTGAGGCCATGGGAAAAATGGCTGAAGACTGCGTGCTGTTCCACTACTGCATAGTTTTAGTCAAGGTGGACTGAATACGTACACTTTCCCCTCATCTGAAGTAGACCCGGGATGGCACCGAATGGGTGGGATACTGCAATGTGTAGTCCAACTAGATGGGCGCGAGATGTTGCTCTCAAAGCGTCATTTTGGGGGGTGATAGTCAGGCCAGCGAATGAAGATCGTTGCGGTCGTACGTCTTCATGAGACGCAGATGGTGATGGAAGTTTTACAAACTGATGTGGATGACCTTCAATCGCAGCCTGCCATACACAGGAGAGAAGGGTTGAGAATGAGTTTTCGTCAGTCGTCGGATAGACCCACTAGCTGGAGGGGTTCGCTAGGCTTCTGGTGGTCTTACCGGCGAGCTACTGGAAGACTAGTGGAGGCTACTAAGGGCTACTGGGAGGTTACTGGGTGGTAAGCTTGGGGTGCCGAGCCCCGGAGCCCGGGGGTTTCCAGGGCCTACTGAGCCTTTCAAGCTTCCCTGGAGGCCCGCCAATCGCATCGGTAATTCGGCTGTGTCCTTCCCCCCAGTAAGTTCTTTAGGGAAACGGCCATGCTGATCCAGGGCTCCCCGCATCCCGAAGCGTCTTCACTATGCCAAGTATGGAAGACCAGCGAGGCCAATGCATGCAGCCTCGTTGGATGTGGAAAAGCTGCTCTCCGTTCAGTACGTAAAGAATCCACGGGACGCTTTCTTCCACTTTTATTAGGTCCTCCTGCCACTGCTCGTCTTACACAAAACTGTACGAGGTACTTTCGACACCCGAACTGGGGCTTGGATCAACCTATTCGTTCCGTACTTGTCCTGCCGTCTCCATCTCAAAGCCTGCCTCCTCTGGACGCTCCGTGAGCAAGCCTAGCTCTTCAAGAAGCAGACAAGCACAAGCCACCCAATAGCAGCGACGACACCTACCCTCCCTCTCGGGACCGTCCTATGCTGAGACGCTGTGTGTTACACTTCGTCTCAGCGCTACGAGCTGAGTTCTTCACATGTGAAATTTCTGTCCACAAGAGTTCCAAAAGGCACAATGCCGCCATACGAGGTTCTGGCCCATGTCGAGCTCCTACAGAATTGCGTAATGCGGAGAAGGCAGGCGGCGGAACGATGGTCCCTGATCATCTTAAGCAAGAGAGAGAAATCATAATACCGGCAAGTCCTCGATCCGGCTTTGATGGGTCCTTGGTGCCCGCTGATCCTTTCCCACCGTGCTTAGGAACAATGATTGGTGCTCAATTCTGCTAGAACCCTCCTCGGATGCTCTACAGAAGATCGTCCATTAGTGGATGCAAGAAAAGAGAAGTGAAAGGGTGATGTCGGTCTATACAAAGGGTGGAAATGAATTGCAGGGGATCGAAAAGCCCAATGCACATACCCTGTTCGCCAGCACCGCTCAACAGCTCTACTCTCCATTGACAGAGTGGAGCTTCCGGAATACATCTTTACGGAGTTTTGCGAGCACGGTGCTATTGTAAGAGGAGAGTTGTGGAAATATCTTCACATGCTTCCAAGACTTTTGAGCATGGGATCGTGGTTGGACCAGCTTTGCGAGGCATTCACGAGAAAAGACTGACCGTGATGAAAGTTTCCGCATGTCCTAGCCACCCACGACTTCTCATCTGGAAGACTCTGCTTTGATACTCTCCAACCCAGAGATCCACGTCAGGACGACCACCCCGACATGGAAACAGCTCCACCTCACCTCTTGAGCGTTCCACTCTGTGTCTGAAGTATGTGGCTTTGGGGATGGAGGGTCTCAAGCCCCTAGGTGGAAGACACACCCGAGCCGTGGCGGTTGGGTTTTGCCAATGTCAAGATCCATCCCTCATTGCGCATGACTTTTCACGACTTTTGAGGGCAAAGTATGCCCATCTAGGGCGACAACACCGTCAGCCATCATTCTACTGAGCCCTACCAGGTAGGTACTTGCACCAGTCGATGTCTCTCGATCGGAGTCTCCACATTATTCGACTCTGGAAAGTCGGTTACTAGGCACCGACACTGATTCCCTCGTCTCGAAGCAAGGCTTGTCGGTAGCGAGACCCGTCATCTCGCATGTGAAGATCCTTTCCAGGCCAGTGCTACAAATCCTTTGGCGAGCCTACATGACTTTCCATCTGTGCCCAAGGGAAAACCACCATTCAAGTTTCTGAAGACCGGAAATGCAGATTGATTGGTCCAGGCTCCAAATTCATCCAGCAATAGGAATACACGGAGCGACCTGGATGGTGGCTCAGGGACGATCTCGAATGTCCCGCTCAGAACATGAGCGGGTTGGACGAACCAACGACGACAGCAGCATCCTTACAACCCTGGGAGTGATGCACGGCGTCGAACAGGGGACTTCGCTTGTGGGATCTCATGATGCAGACAATTGTTGTCGACTTCGCATATCATATGGCAGCTCTATCAATGCGCGGGAGCGCGAAGCCCATCCAAATTCCGCTGGGATCCCTGGTACCAGTGGCATGCCCTTCTGCCACCTGGAATCTCTTCTCCTTAGTATTATCCGAGAGCCTCTAGACTTCGTGTCTTTGACCACTCGAATCACTTTCTAGCCTTCCACCACCCGCTCACCCCCTGGGGGTGGATGCAGTCCTCGCCGTATGATGCAATATACCTATAAACATGCGTATCGGTACCACTAGCAACCATGTTAAATGCTAGCCCTGGCGTTCGGCGTACATCGATCTCTCGTTCAACGGTCCTCGACTGCGATTCAGGTAGTCCTCGCCACCCAGGTTGCCAGTCAATTTCCAAGACATTGCCATGTTGTCGTAGCCGGCTAGCTTGTTGTCCAAGATGCCGCGTGGTGTCCCCATCTGATCTGAGCCAACATTGCCGTTCTCCTCCAATGCTATCTGGACAAAAAGCGATGTTTGATCCCAGGTCACCCGGACAATGTCAGCTCCAGATCCACGTCACACCTTATCAGGTAGGATCGGCCAATGTTTTGCGAAAGTTGTCGCTTGTCTGGATCCGGTTGTTCAATGATCGTGAGACCACCGAGACTCTGGCTTGGGAAAGAAAGGGCCGTAACCCATGCCGCTACGCAGGCAAATACTGGGATGACGAAGAGTCTCATGATGCTGGCTAGACTTGCGGTGGCAGAAACGGCACCGTTCAAGCTCGAGACTTACCTTTCCATGTTGTAATGGCCCTATTTATATTTGAATGATACTCGTCATCAGTCCCATCATGCGCACCATGGAAGCACTCTGCCTCCGCCGAATTGAAATGAGCTTAAGGAGGTCAGGTGCGGCGAGAGAAAGTGGTTCCCTGTCGCTCGTGCTTTGAGACATACGATTTCGAGAAAGGCTGGTGATCAAGCGAAAGTTGAATGCGACGAGTACACAGCACAACCCAACATCAGTCATGGTGGGGACTGAGGAAGCAGATTGGCTCGCAACGAGGTGATCGTCCTGGAATGAACAGCGAGCTGACGATGAGAATAAATGGCTGGTGAATAAGCCTGCTCTGGGGCAGAGCTCTTCAACATTTCCATGATCTCGAGCATTGTCGGATGCTATCGCGCAGAGTAGTTTTTTCGAAGTGTCTTGTTTGATGTTGATTGATAGATGGCTGCACGCACTGCACATTGTTTAACAGATGCCCTAGCTTACTTAAGCATAACACAGTCACGTGCGAGGACACTCCATCCTGATTTCCCTTTCAGGTCCGGTTCCTTTTTCTCTCCAGACAGGCCCGATCTCACTCTTTGGAATACATCGCCCACCGAGCAGGATAGGTAGGAAGTTAGATCTAATGTTCTACCCTTGTGTGATATACTTGGCCGCGTTTGATGGATTGCCAATTGGCGTACTGTTCACGTATCCGTACACAATCTAGGAGCTTCCAGTCTGGCTTAAGGTCCTCATTTTCTGGCCAATCAACTAAACTGCCCGCGATGTCCTCTTGGTCGAGCTGTTTTCAAAGAATGTACCTCTTCCTGTTTCGGCCGTTGGTACCACTGACGATATCTAACTGCAGTGTCAACATGGTAAGAGCTAAGTGGACATGCATCCTGGACGAGCAGAAGGTCAAGAGATCCTCGCACGCATTGGCTGTGATTGGCAGCAATGCCTACATCTACGGCGGAGAGATTAAACCACGGGAGCCTGTCGACTCGGATGTTGACGTAGTTTCTCTCGGTGAGGGTCAGTTTCAGAGGCTCAGATCCTCCCAATCTGCTAAAAGTTGACATCTTAGCAGTTCAGAACAATGAACATTTGGTGTCAAAGATCACGGCATCGAGTTCAGGCCCATCTCCGCGGGTGGGTGTTCTTTCGACAGTCGTGAATGGACAGTTCTATATTTTTTCTGGTCGGGGAGGGATTGCCATGAGTCCAATTGAGGAGAATGGCTCGCTGTGGGCTTTTGATCCATTGGGAAAACAGTGGTCGCGCGTTGCTCCCAAAGACGGATCTCTGCCATATCCCGAAGGTCGAAGCTACTACGCGTTGACATCCGATGGTCATAATACCCTCTTCCTCCATGCTGGCTGTCCGGAAAAGGGTAGACTTCGCGATCTTTGGTCCTTCCAGATTGCGGATCAGACATGGAAACGGCTGGCTGATGCCCCAGAGCCTGAACGGGGAGGACCTTCCATCGCATACGCGGACGGCAAGCTGTATCGCATGAATGGCTTCGATGGCAAGACTGAACAAGGTGGCAGCCTTGACATATATCATATCGCCGACGATACTTGGACAACTGTGCCGTATCATGCAGACGGCCGCTCTGGGCCTACCGCTCGGAGTGTAAGCTGCCTTGTGCCAATCACAATTTCGGACAAATCGGTTCTGGTCACCCTGTTTGGCGAGAGTGATCCCAGCAATCTCGGCCACCAAGGCGCAGGAAAGATGCTTGACGACATCTGGATTTTCCACCTTGACACGTCGGCTTGGACCAAAGTGGACATACAGGGTGAAAATCGACCTGCTCCGCGGGGTTGGTTTGATGCTGATGCCTTGCGTAGCTCACCATCGCCCAAGGTGGTGATCCATGGGGGTCTTGCGGAATCTAACGAGCGACTTGGGGATCTCTGGACGCTGGAATTTGACGATGAGTGAATTTACTCTGCGAATTTGGCTTTGCATGTATGTTGAGGTATGTTGGTTCAACCGATAACGCCACCGGATTCCAACTGTCTTTAAACCCTGGTGGTTCGAAGTCGTTCAAGAAAGGGTAATATTGCTAAGCAAATTGGTCACTTTTGGTGTTATCCATCTAGAATGTGGTCGGGTAGAATGAGCAACTCAATGGGAGGAGGAAATGTTCCATCACGTGCAAGCATAATCAACCCGACGGAATAGTCGCCGGAAATGTTCCGCCGCGACATCGGGGCAACAGCGAGTGCGGAGAAATTCCCCCCCATTTTGACTTTTGCGTCTAGCGGGCAATCCACCTGCCACTCACCCACCTGCCGCAGTTCAAGACTTGAAGGGCAATCAATCAGAGATATAAAACCCAAAACACCAATCCAAAGTCGTGAAGATCCAGCTCTGAACGGCCCCTCAAAAATTATTCTCTGTTCTTCCTCATCCCCAAGAAATCTCGGCAGAACATGTCTGCCAAAGTCGCCCTGGTCACAGCCTCGTCGGCAGGCCTTGGCGCCGCCACGGTCAAGGCTCTGGCCCCTTACTTCCGCGTGGTGGTCAACTACCACTCGCGGCAGGAGAAGGCCGACCAGGTGATCAAGGAGGCCTCGGCGATCCAGCCCACGTACAGCACGCAGCAGGGCCAGCTGCGCTTCCACGCCATCCGGGCCGACGTCTCCAAGCGCAGCGAGATCGAGCGCCTGGTGCACGAGACGGTCGCGCAGATGGGCCGGCTCGACGTCGTGGTCAGCAACGCGGGCTGGACGCGGCTGACCGACTTTATGGACCTGGAGCAGCAGGTCGTCGAGGACGACTGGGACCGCTGCTTCAACGTCAACGTCAAGAGCCACCTGTGGCTCCTCTACGCCGCGAAGCCGCACCTCGAGAAGACGGCGGACTCGGACGAGCGCGTCGGCGGCGCCTTTGTCACCGTGGCCAGTCTCGCTGGCGTCCGTCCTAGCGGGAGCTCCCTATCGTACAGCGTCACTAAGGCAGCACAACTGCACCTCACAAAGGGCCTGGCCATGATTTGCGGCAAAAAGGTTCGGTGTAATAGTGTTAGTCCGGGACTCATGATGACGGAATGGTAAGTCAGTTGGTTATGGCTCTTGCTTCTGTCTTCCTTCCATACTACGTGCTCTGGGCAGCAAAAAATATAATGTCGATGCTGACTTCTTCTGGCCACAGGGGCAAACAATTTCCAGAGTCAAAGGTCAAGGCCACAGTCGACAAGGCCGCCTTGAAATCGACGGCTACCCCGGAGGACGTCGCCGACCAGATCAAGACGCTGGTGCTGAACAAGTCTATTACGGGCCAGAATATCATCTTGGATTGTGGTATTGCGATATGAAATGGGCTCCCTCCCCGTTGTTAAAAGTCGAACCAGAAATACATCTATTCTAACCCCGTTTTTGTATCACAAGCCACTATCATTTAGCTGGTGTCAGATCAGGACCGATCTTGCAGAATCTAGAATCATCAGGATCCTTCTCGTCGAGGCTCCGAGCTCAAAGCTCGCACCAAATTCAAGGTGCCCCACATGTTCTTGACATATCCATCATTTTTGATATCGTGAATACCTCCCACCCTTGCCATCACCTCACCCTTCCTCGGCAGCTTTCACAGATTTCAAATATCTGTCCACAAGCCTATCGATCGCTCCCTGAATACTCCGCTTGAGGGCTTCAGCATCATCCCACGACCCGTTCCGAACCCGGTGTAGCTCGTTCCACAGTCCCGTAACCAGGTCCATCCCTGCTTCCTGTGCCTGTCGGCTCTGCAGATTGACCGCCCTCCACTTGTCCTGGAGTTGGTGATATCTCACCAAGAGAGCCCGGGTGGCGGTGAGCGCACATGTGGCCAGCCTCTCCACTTCGGCGCCGTCGAGTGAGACGCGAAAGTCGTCGGGGACAGCTAACCCCGGCGACGGCATCTTGGAGTAGGGTTGGAAATCCGTCGAGGGCAGACGGGTCGTATCGTGTCCATGGAGAGGAGCTGTGCTTGGGCCTGGGCTATCGCTTGTCGTTGTGCTTGTGCTCGTGCTCGGTCGGACCATCTCGGCATACAAGGATCTTGCACATTCATCGAGTTCGTGGAGAAGCCAGCGGAGGAGGTGCAGCGAAATCTCGACTGTTTCTTCTGGAAATCGTTGCATTGCGGGCGAAGCGTGATCATCCATGACCTCCTTCTGGGAGAGCGTGTGTTATGACGAGATATATGTTGCTCCTTCATGATGTGTTGAACCGTCATATAGAGCCAGAGACCGTCAAACACATGTTGGCGGCAGACGGAGTTTTTGGATGGTTTGTGCGGTTTCAACCAAACGCGATCCCATGGTTTGTATGTCGAGCGATGGCTCATATACGTCTGCAACCCATCTCTCACACATCAGCCTCGTCGTCCATTACCTCGAGTCTTCTCAGTGTCTCCAGAGCAGTTTGGCAGCCTCGTTTGACGATGTCTCTTTCCTTCTTTCCGACCAGATCTGAAGTCCGCACATTTTTCTTAATGAAGAACTGCAACCTCTTGATGATCTGAGGCGTCTCAGCTGCACGCTCAAACACTTTGGTCAACGCTTCCGGTTTGTCTTTAGCCTCGGTCATGACAATGATGAGCAAGAGCTCTACAAACATGGTTGTCCGTTCCTTGATGTAGGCGAGCTCCAGCACTTTCAATACGCCCAGTGTTTCGGCTCCATCCATGATCAGACAAGCGTATAACCGTGCGACGTTGGCGATCTCGGTGAGTCCCACTTCTTGATCGTCTTCTCCCATATCTTCGTCCTCGTCGTCTTCCCGAGGCGGCTTCTCGCCCATTCTCCTGAAGAAATCCCATAATGCAAACTGAAAGGCCTTGCGCATCTTCTTGTCCAGGCACAACTTCCTCGCCACAAGGGTGTAATAGTGGTTGTATGGATTTTCACCGGCGCTGCAGCGAAGCAGGACTTTGGGGATCTCCTGCTCTTGGGTGCGCTTAAGACGCAGTTTGAGGAGGCGTAGATGCGCATCTTGGTAGTCCACTGCCGAGAGAAGGGCGACAAAAATGGAGCGCCGAATGTCGGTGTTCATACCGTAATGGCGTGATAGGGCGAGGAGATCGACTGAATCATCGTCATCAAGTCCAACACTATTCATCGTGATCGAGTTGTCACTTCGTCCTTCAGCTGGTGCTTCTGTAGGCTCATGACCTTTCCAGCTGGCTCCCACTAACCACCATTTTCCCTTCTTGTCGCTGTTCTTGATATCATCCCTCGTGATTCGCAGCGGCTCAGATGCCCTCACCGTGCGGCTGTTATTCAACGAACCAAGCACTTTACGCATCAGTGTGATGTGCTCACTTGCTACGCCTGCATTATTCGCCGCAGCTTTCATCTTGTTGTTCTTCAAATCCGTGATCGTTTCGATCATGAATTTCGTCCGTACGCTCATCTGTGCTCCTGCTGAATTCATTCGGGCGGCCTCCTTTTGCATGATTTGGACGATATCTTTGAGCGAGGATGGATCATCTTGCCTCAATTGCTGGCCACAGTCCCGGACTAGACGCAGCAACAACTCCGTGTTGTTCTCGCTTAGTCGCTCGAGTAATAATCGGACGTAGTCGAAGATGATGGTGCTGCTAATTAGACGGAATGTGAAGAGGTGACTGAGAAGACTGATCAGATTGAGTGCCTCTTTGCCAGTAGCAGTATCGCTGCGATACTGATCAAGTCGCTCGATCAACTGAGAAAGGAGTTCCGCGCCGAAATCCACGCCAACAACCTTGTATACTGCGGTGGCAAATGCCGCGTGAAGGATAACAAAGGTGTTTGAGAGAGTTGATTTGTTACAAAACAAGGTCAAAAGAAGGTCGATCAGGGCGGTTGTAACGTCCTGCCTAGGGTTAGACTGGTAGAGCTTCTCGACCTCTCCTAGTATTGAGACGAGGTTCGCTTCTGATAACTTGTTCAGGTGGCCTTGAAGTTGCCTCTTCAGTCTTTCCAGTGAAGGACCTTCGGAGTTTTGTGCTTTTCTCAATGATGGCGGAATATATTTCCCTGTGGCTGTTTGGGAGACTGGGGCGACGTAAGGATTCTCTCGAACCTTTTTGGGTTGAATGTCGGGCATCTCTTCATCTGACTCGAAGCCTTCAAACGAGCCCTCACTTGCTCGCCCCGAACCGTCTTCGGACTCCTCCTCGTCGGAATCCTCTCCCAGGTCCTCATCCAACAGATCACCACTGTCTCCTTGATCAGTCCCGAATTCATCAAGCTCGTCATCCTCGCTCTCGTCTTCAAGGTCAAAATCGTCCTCAGTAAGCTCACTGTCCTCGGTATCAGGTTTCCTTCTCTTCCTCTCCAACCACGCCTCGCTTTCGCTCTTCCTCTTGACACCCCCATCCTCGGCGTCCAGCCCCTCGAGTAACTCATCCAACCCATCGTCCGCAAAAGACTTTGGCGTTTTCCTCTTCTTCAAGCCTAGTTTTCTCTCAAGTGCCGCAATCTCAGCATCATCCTGTGCGGCCCGCTCTCTGAAGGCTTGGGAATTGGCGTCGAGAACGAGACCGGGAGAGGAGGACCGTGATCGTGGCGGAAGAGAGGTTTCAGACAACGATGGAGATTGGATTTTTTGCCTTTTGAGGATTGATTTTAGCTTTTTCGGTTCATTTTGCGGAACCTTCAATTTCACGGTGTCGTCTCTTTTCGGCGCAACGTGCACAGGGTTGGGTTCGTCGATTTCATCTGCGTCCGAGTCTTCATCTGAGAACCCGTTCTCTGTCACCGGCGGTCCCCTTTGGGATCTTCCACCCCTGGTATTCTGTCTCTTCTCCAGTCTTTGCGCCTTGCGCTGCTCTTTTCTGCTCTGCACCGAGCCATTTTGCTGCTGTCGCCGCCCACCTCTAGCGCTTGGTTGCGACCTGTGCTCTAGCCCGAGTTCCTTCTCAAGCGCAAAGGGTAACTTCAGGCCATTTCGGGCTCGCGCATTGTGTCGCGACAT